GAATCCAAAAGAAGTATTTTTTTTTTCATGTTTCTATTGGACTTTTAATTTATTTTTATTTTTATTTTTCTACATCATTATTCATTTTAAAACAATTATTTGCTTCTCCCTAACCCCTCCGGTGTAGCCTCATAATTTTCTTCACCAGTGCACCCGTGCATCATCCTCAGTCCCCTGTCCCCTTCCTCCCTCCCTCATCCCTCTCCCTCCTCCTCCGGGCAGGATGTCTCTGGTTTATAATTGTCTGTTTTTGCTTTGTTGTGTTTTGTATTGTTATTATTTTTTTCACACTGATGTCTTATTTGGTTCCCCTGTATTCCTGCTATAAGTGAAGCCATCTGATATTTCTCTTTTTCCTTCTGGCTTATTTCACTGTACCACGACCACATGCAAAAAAATGAAACTAGACTACTACCTCTCACCATGCACAAAAATCAACTCAAAATGGATAAAAGTACTGGACATAAGACCTGAAACCATAAAATATATAGAAGAAAATATAGGTAAAACACTACAAGACATACATCTCAGAAACATCTTTAAAGACTCATCACCCAAAGCAAAGATGGGCCTCCCTGGTGGCGCAGCGGTTGAGCGCTGGGTTGCGAAGCTGCCCGCGGCCTCTGCAGCGCCTGTTCAATCCCCGGCTGCTCCCTGGCCACCGGAGGAGGGTCCCACATGGCACGCAGACCTCTCCTGCCGCCCGCCGCTCCCCTCAGCAGTGTACTTTGGTCCTTCTGCCTGCTCTGCTCCCCGCTCTGGCTCTGGTGAATTCTCTCACCCTCCCGCGCCTCTGACTGTACCCAGTGCATGTGTAAACCAAACAAACAAATAAATAAATAAAAACATGCCTCTATAAAAAAAAAAAAAAGTCAAGGAAAAGATAAACACCTGGGATTACATCAGACTGAAAAGCTTCTGTATGGCAAAAGAGACATTAACCAAAACAAAGAGACACCCCACTGATTGGGAAAAATTTTTTGCACTCCATACAACTGATAAGGGACTGATCACAAAGATATACAAAGACCTCACAGGACTCAACAAATAAAGTAAACAAAAGAAGTATCATTTAAAGGAGTGTCATGCCTCTTTCTATTGCTTAGGTCTCAACTCTTTTGTAAAAGGATTTTGTAAAAGGAATTTTTTTAAAAAAAATTACACATATGCAGTAAAACCCAAAAAGCAGAAATTAAATAGCAAGAGCTCTCCCTTCCCTATACAAATCTTCCTCTTCCCATCCCTACATCACTTCTTGTACTGGTTTCAGCATGGGACTGCGCAGTATATAAATTATGCCATCCACAACTTTGTTTTCTAGGTTTTTCAAAATATGTTATGCAACGTTAGAACATTTTTGGAAAAAAAAAAAAATCAAAGAAAACAAGCCAAAAGAAAATTTTCAAATCTATGCTTTGCCAAAAATATATCTCCTAGGAACAATTTACATAATGTGCTAATGGACACAAGATATTTAACAGCCATGAGGTAATACTATTGGTTTTGAAAGCAATAATGTGAGTAAAATGTTGAGGATTAAGCACTAAAGAGAATTAGGAGTTTGCAAAACATGGTCAGGGTAAGTCATTGATTTCTTTGGCTATAAGATAAAAATTGCTGGAGAGTTTTTAAAAATGCTGACAGTGGTCATTAGAACTTTAAAAATGTTAACTTTACATTTCTTCATCTTTTGCTTTGTCATAAATTCACCTTATTACCAGTGGTGCTAGAAATGGCTATAGAAATATCATACATACTTTATAATTCTGGGTAATTGACACACGTAAGTAATCTTTCCTTGAAAAGACTATTTCAAATGGAACAAAACCACTGCACATACTATACATATTTAAATTAGCTTCTCTTTTTTAGTGAAGAAACATGATATTGTATTAATTAGATGTTAAACATTGTTAAGGTTTATATTATCAAAAATATTTATATTTTCTAAATATTTAGCTTAATTATATCTAAATAAATAATGAATATTGTCTGATCCATGTTTTCACTATAAGAAAACTGCATTTAATTGAAGTAACAGGTGAGCTTTATATTTTGATTACTCTGAGCTATTCGATCCACTAAAATATGGTACCGTTGATAAAAATACACATTACATACTTAGATTTTTAGAACACTAAAATTGTCTAATGTCATCACTTGATTATTTAATTCATTCACTTCATATTTATAGTATGCCTAGCTAGGGTTACTATATTAGACACAAACGAATATATCTGGAAGATATAATAATTGCCGAAGGAGGACTTACATTTCTGGGGGACGACAATATATGTAAATGTATACACAGTACAACATGAAACCTACCCTAAAAAGGATAATACAAAGGGTGTTCTTTAGATTCTATTTTTATGTCATGAAATATGAGTCAAAAAGAGATTTGGAAATGTTAATTAAAGTGAAATGAATTGCTTCCTATGAATTTGGGGGTTAAATAAACCATGTTGTCCAATACAAAGGCCAAGGTCAAATGTGAATATTTAAGTTTAAATTAAAATCACACAAAATATAAAGTGCAGTATCACAGTATACAAGTCACATTTCAAGTACTCAATAGTGATTGTCACATGTGGCAACTGAGACTACAGAATATTCCCATCATCACAGAAGACTCTCTTGGACAGTGTGGATAGGGGAGGTTACTTTATTAATTCAAAAATGTAATCAAAGTTTGTACTTACATGACATTTTATAATTGTTTATACCAAAAAGGCAATGATCTTTTTGGAAAATCACTGTTTTCTAAATTAAAACTGAAAACATCAAGCTGTGTATCAAAGGTAAATTTCTGTGTGTCAAGTAGACTATTTCCTAAAGACATCATATTAATAAAGTTAATTTACTTTTAGTAGTGTTTTGCTCATCCATGTGTTCTTAGAACCTAGCCAAGTGCCCAATACAGATAAATTGAACAATTAGTACTTATTGACAACTAAGGGATAAAGTGAAAAAATAAATGAACACATCTTTTTTCATTGAAAAAGAGGGAGTCACTTACTGATAAAAAGAACACTTATGACACCTACTATCTTTCTCTTACATTCACCATTTCTAGGGAATATATGGAATATGAACTATAAAGAAATCAATGGACCTGAAGGACAGTACAACCTTCTCTTTTTCCTTCTCTACTTCCTTCCCTCCCTCCTTCTTTTCTTCCTACAAAGGTAGCCAATCAATAGCAGACCAAGACTGGAACACAGGTCTGTATCAAAAGAAAATCAAAATCAACAAGCAACTCTAAACCAGAGAGACACTACAGGGTGAGGGGGCAAGGGAATAGGATCAAAACAAGGCGGGTGGGAATTGTATGGGGACTATAACCAGGATGAAAATGTATATATTGTGCAAAAAATGAAAAATGATATAAAAATATATAAAATAAATAAAAAAAGAGAGTGGAATCAGACCACAAAAAAAATTATCTTAACAGATAATTGAATCACTAACGGGATAAAGAATTCAGAAATAATTAAGTAGAGTGATGAAATATCTTATTCTAAAATAGAATTTATGATGCATCAGAAAGTTATGTTCCACCCAAGTTTGTGGAGAAACTCACATTCATAACAAGGCAATTACTTAAAATAGGAAAAATGTTTAGATAAGCAGTTCCTATGAATAGTAGAGGATTAGAAATAATAGCCAAATGTATCATACAATCTTAGTTCTTTATACTAGGTTTTGTATGTTATTTTAAAATTATTTTAATATTGATGTGTTCTTTTTTCCCCTGCTAAGAAAATATGGATGGCTCTTAGCTAACTATGTTTATGAATCTTATGTTCATAGCTGAATTTCATACCTCAGTGATTCAGAGTGGCAAACAATTTTAAGCAAAGTATCTAAAAATAAATAAATTGGGCTGTGAGCCTAAACTTCTAAAATTAACATAATTTCAAGGGAGGAAAAAATATTCTTGTTCTTTGCACGTACCTGATTAAGACCCAGAATATTGGGAAACTTGGTGGTATCATAGCAGAGTGAGCCCTCTGAACCATTTTCCTGATAAGTTATTTTTCACATATGCAATTACTGCTTGGAATAAAGGTGTCTATATTGAAGTTGGGTTAGGTTACTAATAAGAAGGCAACACAATTAGAAGACAATACAATTCATCCTCAAGCAACTATTAAGAGAACTGAGTAATTCTGGAGTGATTTGTATCACTAGATTAGAAGCAGAACAATGAGGGTGACTTCTTGACCTCTTTTAGCTTTACATTTTAAGAAAAAAGGACTGAAGACAAAGTCACACAGGTGGTTCCCTGGTGTTTATTTGGCAATGTTGTTGCTGTGATTCTAGGCAATAATTAAAAAAAGAATTAAAAAATATGAGAACTCCTTGAGTTCTGTCTCCAACTGAAAGGCCAAACTATATCAGACACTGTACAAAAATGTATGGATTGTCATTAAGCGAATGTTAGTTACCCACATTTTAATTTTCCAAAACAGAAGTCACATGAAGTATCATTTATTAATCTTTACAGACCTATACATAAAGAACAAGTGAAAGGTTACCAGCCAGCAGAAGCCTTAGAACCAAATCTCTTTTGTCATTGTCAGGATCTTGCCATACCCATAACTCATTTAATATTTTGTATTTCAAGCTCAAAGCTATGGTTTAACCTGCTACTATTTTCAAATGTTCCAAAACATTAAATTATTTGCATCTGAGGTTAAAGGAATATTTATAACTGTAACCTGAAATATCATTAGAGAAAATTAAAAAAAAACTTATTTATCTTAATTTCAATTAAGTAACAAAGCATGATTTGCTCATGTATAACCTTGTAAATTTAAGTTCATTTAATTAGAAATTTTCTCCATGAGTCACTGATAATACACATTAACCATTTTCTAATTTTAGCCATAGTAAGGTTCAAAATATTTTGCTAGATCACGCAAATGATATAAGATCATGCATGCAAAATGGAAAAATGAGAATTTTACTTATGTAGATGTGGAATGGTTACTTACCCCTGTCCGTGTCATAGAGAAAGACAAAACAGTTCCATTCATAGTGATCCAGCAGACTCAAAAGTGCTCCTCGTAAGGAAGGTCTTAGCTGCAGCACAAACTGGCTTTCCCCCTCGGTAGGGAAACTTGGGGTGATGAGGGAGATGTGTAAGGCGCTGCAGAATGAGGTCAAGGTATGTACTGACCTCTTATCATAGAGTCCGAAAATGGCAAATACTCCTCTAGAATACTGGGAACAGACTGAAACAAAAGAAAACAAACAAACAATTAATACACTCTAAAATTCTTAACTTCCATATATAAAGTATATTAAATTTTTTAAAAAGGAATCATTGCTATATCAGAATACAATTAAAGCAGAGTAAAGTGTGCAATTAATTGTATAATCAATTAATGAACTCTTGTGCTTGTACTCAAAGCCCTGCATTGAGTGAGATAATAAGAGAATATATGCTTCATTCTTCAAGAAGCCAATTTGAATTAAAGAGAAATTTGACTAAAGTGACTATATAACATTTCATGATAATGTAGCAAATCCTATGGTAAACTTTTAAATGTGACAAATCCAAATTTTTCTCTGCATTTTCTTATATGCAAAAAAAATACTTTCCAAACTCCTAAATACTAATTGAAGCAGCATTTAAATTACATAGTGACACCCTTCCTTTTAAGCTATATACATATATTTTCTATTTTGAATTAGACTGCTTTTGTTTAACTAAGCCTAAATTGTCACCTGTATTTTTTTTGTAGAAGCAGTTTATTTTTTATCACACCCTTGGTGTACTCTTGGATCATGTTGGAAGACAGATAAGCTGTCTGTAAAATCACTACTGGGGTTCTCTTGATGCTTAGTGGAATTGCAGAAAGCTGCATGAAATTAAGACAAAACAATTCCAAAACCCAAAAGAATTGAGTCTTCCCAATGTGAGATGACTTGTGGTAAAGAGATGAGGTAAAACCCTCACTTTGCTTGTCTTTCTTCATACTTCCTGTTGCCTGGATAATGAGGCAAATTCAAAATGAGGGGAAAAAAATCCTTCCTAGTCGAATTCTGGCCACTCTTTTGGCATGATTGATTTCTAGTCCAAAGTTGGGTGAGTTTTTCTAATTTACACTTTAATGATATAAACCTGCATTTACATTTTAAAGATATAATCCTCATGTTTATACAGTAAAATAAGACTTTGAATCCTGAGTTCTTATAGTTTATCATATATGGCTATAGGTCCTATTTTTTCTTTGCATACATAGCTAATTTAAGAGGTCTATAGTTCTATAAAATTTTTATGTTTTCTGATTTTAGTTACTAATTTTAATCACTAAGTTCATTAAAAACCTGGAGTAAGATATAATCCAGAGGTATCTATCCTAGAAGTAATTTATTGTGATTTAAAGAAATTAGAGTTTGTTTTGTTTAGCAGGTTCTTTGGTGAATTATGAATCATAAATAAGAGAAATTAATGAACCCTGTGGGGATTTCTTTTGTTTTCATTTTTTATGCCTCTTGAAATTGGGGATAAAGCCTCTTAAGTGCAATCTAAACAGAAGATGGTAATAATAAACAGAAATGAATGCTGTTGATTTTTCTTAAATGACAAACTGTACATATTCTGGGAAATCTAAACTCCAATTAAGGGGCTAGAGTTTATATTCAAATGGACAAAACAAGAATGGAGATTACATTAAAATACAGATGGTAGGTCCTCCCTGGTGGCACAGGGGTTAAAGTCTCAGCTCTATCAAGTGATCACCAGCCACTGTGGCATGAGTTTAATCCCTGGCCAGGGAGCTAACCCACAAGGCGCAGCAGACCTATCCTGTCTCACCCACTGCTCCCTTCAGCAGTATGTCTCAGTCAATCCGCCTGTTCTGTTCCCCACTCTGTCTCTGGTGAATCTTCTCACTCCTCAGTCCTAACCCCAGTTCTTGTATGCATAAACAAATAAAATAAATCTTTTAAAAAATAAAATAAAGAAATAAAATTAAATATAGACGGTAAACTCTATTCACAAGTTCAAATCCCAGTACTTTTACTTATTAGGTGACCTCGCTAAGTTAAATCAGGTTTCTTATTTCAGCTATGAATATACAATGTTTCAAGGATTAAAGGAGACAACAGATGTAAAACTACTATCCTAAGAGGATACACAAGAAAACAAGTGGCAGAGTTTATGAAAAAGATTTCCATATGCATACATAATTAATTTAGTCCTATTATTTAATAAAAGGGTAAAAGGATTAAAGGGTAAAATAGCACAGCTGATCCAAAACCAAGAATGGAGATATTCAGCTTGTGTAGAACATATGCCAGTTATTTCAATGGATATTGCATTGGAGTTTATATAGAAATTCTATCAAGCAAGAACATCCAATTCTCATTCTATGCTCACCCAGGAAACAGAATTTGATTATCTAAATAGATTGACCATCCTGGAAGGCTTGTTCTGACAAAATGACTGGATGCAATTTTCTGGCAAGATAGAAGAAACATATAATATAACATTTGTGCATCATGAGTTTTAACTCAATTCAGTTCCTGTAACTTAAGTGGTTGGATAAATCGAGTTGCTGGATGGGACCTTAACCTTATGAATGTTCCACCAAGCTTTGAGTATATTTCTGTAAGTGCTATATATTTTAGCATATAACCTGGAGTAACCCAGCATTTTTGTGCTTTCATATTTTCTGATCTCTTAATTTGCATGCACACTGAGAACCCCCTCTCAATCTTTATTTAGTAAATAATCTGGCTCAATTAATTTTTATTTTATTTTACTGAAAAAAATTAAGGTTGGTGAGCTTTAGAATTCAAAATCTAGTATCTCGGCATTTAGTTTGATGCTGAAAGTATTCAGAAGTTTGAATACTTGTTAGAGAAAATGTAAGTAAGCAGGATTTACAGGTCATGTACTTTAAATATCTCAGGCATAAAATGAACATTTACATAATATTTTCTTTTATGGGATTTTAAAAGTAGACCATTGTTAAGTTTGAGTTTCCAAACTGTGTTTTACTAGGAATTCCAAGAGTACCATAGGAGTGATACAGGGCAGCAAGGGGCACTAAAAGCGGCCAAGGACACTGCCCAAATACTTTACTGGTCACTGTCTGAGTTCTTCACCCATGTACACAATTTCAAGACTACTCAGGCTCAGAGAACAACAACAATGGGATTTATTTAAAACCAGGGAAAAACGAAGAGTTACTAGATCAAAAATGGCAGTTTACCTCACCCGAAGCAGTGTCCAATGTTTTCAAGTCCTAAGCAAAAAGTATCTAAGATGGGGTCTTCCCCCCAGTGAGATGCAGAGGTCCTCTCAATAGGCCTAACAATAGGCCATGTGCCCAAGATGGCATCTTCCCACCACTGAAGTCTGGAGCATGAGGCAGCCAGACTATAGGCCAGGTTCCAACTCATGAAGACAACAGAAGATACCACAGGAGATGCTCCCGGAGCTTCCGAGATGCCCCAGCACAGCACCAGACTAGCAACACTCAAAACAGCAGCTATAACAGCCAAATGAGCAACAAATGGCCACACTCATGCAACTCAGTGAGGTGCCCGACTCCGGGTCTTCACTTACTCTGCTAGGCTGTAACAGCAGCAGAACCGGGAACAGTTTCAGTTGCTTGGCTACTTGCAAAGCTTCCAAACTTTTCCTCGCTGAGGTTGGCTGCTGGAAGCCTCCCCATCACGGGGGCTGAAATCGCTGACCCCAGAATTGCTGAAGATCCAAAAATGCTAACTCCCAAACATTGAAAGCTCAAACGCTGAATCCCGAACACCAAATCCTGGGGGCTGCTTCTGCAGCCCCTGATATTTCTTATCAGAGTCTCCACCCCAAAATGCAATACTTTTTAGCATTTTCCCTGGGGCTATCTATCCTCCCCAGCAACTACCTCCAGGGGACACCACCTGTAATGGTCTTTGGTTTCAGCCACGGGATATAGGAGGACTTGCATTGCTTTGCGTGAGACCCTTGATGAGACAGAAATGGGCAACGCTGGATCCTTCACCTCGAACCTTCATCCTCCCTCCCTCCTCATCTCTTCTCCTCAAAATCCAACAGCACTCCTGATTTCATCTATTTCAAATATTGAGCTACTTTCATGATAAAGTTTTATTTGCAAAAGTAGCACACTCCCAAAACAAGTTCACAACTTATATATTCTGCATAAAGTCCCACCAGTTACTTCTTATTACACAGTTTTTAATCTAATCATTATGACCTTCCACTGTTCTGGCTCTTGCTAGACTTTAAATAGGGATTTATTTCATTTGGGCCTCAGCAAACTTAATATTTTATGATATTTAATTATTTTCTACTTGCGTTCATTCATTTGCATTATCAACTATCTTTTTAAGTCATCTGTCATTTAGCTGCTAAGAGACATATTTAAAACTATAGGGCCTCCCCGGTGGCGCAGCAGTTGAACTCTGGGTTGCGAAGCTGCCCGCAGCCTCTGCAGCCCCGGTTCAATCCCGGCTGCTCCCGGCCACTGGAGGAGGGTCCCACATGGCGCGCAGACCTCTCCTGCCGCCCGCTGCTTCCTTCAGCAGTGTACTTCGGTCCTTCTGCCTGCTCTGCTCCCTGCTCTGGCTCTGGTGAATTCTCTCACCCTCCCACGCTTCTGACTGTACCCAGTGCTTGTATAAATAAATAAATAAATCTTTAAAAAAAAAACAAAACTATAGTATTACACTAATAACTTTGTTTTTGAGTGCATTCTGTCACTTTTTACTTCCCTTTTCAAATTTACAGTTTTAGTATTATTCTTTTAAATTATATTTTGTCTAGTTAATCTAGATTATTGGCCTGGTAGTTGAGGATTATTGGTTTTCCTATGTGTGTGACTAGATTGTCAGTTAAATGTTACTCTCAGTGGACATCCTGGATAATGTTTCATTTGGCTTAATATGACATCTATCGCTGCCTAGCATACAAATAGTTATTCAAACAATGAAACTTCTATAACTATATAAATGCTTACATAAAGAGTAAACTAATCTGAATAGGAATGTGTCCAGAATGCACAAAAAGAAAATAAACTGAATTTTAATGTTCTTGTATAACGCAACTAAATAAAAGAAACAAGAATTAAATGCTTGGTTACTAAATAGATGCAATTCTATTATACTGATACATATTTCAGGATACAAACACTAATCAAAGTAAGACTTTCAGTGAAATAATGCAATCATAATTTTAAGCACATATTCTATATTCTGCTTCACT